TGTGTTAGTGAGCCTAGTAATGTGTGCTCACACACTATTAGACCCGCGGTTCATTGACGCGCGCCAAGCTAAAACTTGGCTTAAATATACTTTACTCAATAATTATTCCTTTATTATGTTATAGAAAAAAATGGTTCAGAACTTTTTGACAAGGTTTTCCATGAGGAATATCACTGTGTAAATAGTGGGTACAAATTAAGTTACATCCTCTATACATACCGCAATTGTATTGTAAATGTAGTGAACAACATGTGCATTCATTCATAAATGGCCAGTTATTGCTATTCAAATCTTCGTTATTAAAATATACAAAAAACATTATAATTTTACATTTTAGACACAGTTAATTATTATGAAACTATATTATAAAAAATAATTTAAAAACCATTAGATTTTGAAGTGCTTTTTCGAAATTTTTCAGTGCTTGACAATGTGCCAATATTATTAGTAGCTTCATCATTGCTCTTTTTTTCGGCTTGGTTTTAATAAAAGTATTGACTTCTGAAAAAAAAAACAATTTAGGATCAAACTTTAAATGTAAATTTTTTTATTCATAAATTAATTGCTACTGTTTTATTTTATTTATAAAATTTTTATAAAATTTGAATATATCAGATAGAGAAATGTATACAAACCGTTTGTTGGTTTCATACGTGGAGGAGTCAGTAATTTAGTGGCAACTTTATTGTCATTGTTATTATCGTCTGACGACGATAAATTACTCTCCTCAAATGAGGAGCCATACGTTTTTTTCGAAATATTTCTTTTAGACCTGGTTGATGTACCGCCGACATCAGAATGTATATCAGAAGAATATTCTGCTTTACGACATTTTTCTTTTGCTATTAAATAATTATCTGAAACAAAATAATAAGTGACATATAATGTAACAAGATACACACACAATAAATAATTTTTTTATTAAAACATAATAAGTAGTATATATTTATCAAAAGTTCCATGTCTTAGAATCCGAACAGGATATGAGGGCCAACAAGTATTTGGGTCTTCGTGATTCCTAATTGCTGCAGTTAATTTATCCAATAGAAACGATGGCCAATAACACCTATTGTTAATTAACCAACTAGATGGAACTGCTTCCACGGTATCTTCGTCCGTAAAAATAACGACTGTCCACGTTTTTGCCATATTTTTCTACACATTCTCAACAATTAGTACGTAATAGGGTGCATCCAGAAGCACGATCTTGAAGTGAGCGGTCGTGCTTCTGGATGCACCCAATAATTCCAGATCACAATAATTCCGAATATTATAAATGTAGTCATACCGTCTGAAGGATTTTTATCTTAGGGCGAGGTTGCGTGGAGGAAATCACGAAAAACTTTTGATTCAGTGAACAAACAAATATATGTATTCAGCTAACAGTGTACAGCGTTTCTGCGCTCTCTTCTCGATTTGACCAACACTTCCGCTGAGACTATCTTTTCTTTCAGAAACGTTCGCCAGGACCATTGCCACGAGACTGATTCGCACGTACGATCGCCGTTTCCGCGTTACCGGATAACGCGCGCGCTCTCGGTCCTCGAAAATCGCGAGCGCTTTCTCCTTCTGATCGGGCGCTTCGCGCCAAGTTCGAATCGGGATTATTTCGTTTCCAACACTCCCTTTTAATCCGGATTTGAGCTTTTACATTTTAAGCAAAAAAAATAAATTTGCGGAACATACAAAATTGTCCGATCAACAAAAGTAATTTATTTTCTGAACAAATCTAAATCTTCTCAGTTTTTTTCGTTTCCTCTACTAAGGAGTTTTTTTTTCTTTTACCTTTATTCATCTAAAGGAGTTTCTCCCGCGGTTCTCCTTTCTCTGTTTATCTAACGTATTTATTATGTATATATATATATATATCTATCTAGCCTACTAAGTTATCGCGATGCTTTGCAAATTTTAAAGAATTTAGCGGTTTCGTTAAAATGTCAGCCGTTTGATTCTCTGAGTTACAATATTTTATTATGATATTATTTTCTGTTACTTTCTCTTGTATAAATCTAAATCTAACGTCTATGTGTTTCGAGCGCCTATTTAACACCCCTGTTTTTATTAGTTGTATCGCGCTTTGGTTGTCTACCTGTATTTCCGCGTTTACGATTTTAGACCTTATCTCTTCTAGTACAGCCTTGAGGTACAGCACTTCTTTGCAGCATTCAGCCGCCGAGATGAATTCCGCCTCCGTGGTGGAAAGTGCAACAATCGGCTGTTTCCTCGAGCACCAGCTGATTGGCCCTCCGCAATACTGTATTACGTAGCCCGTTGTGCTCTTCCTCGTCTCTGGATCGCCTGCATAGTCGGCATCGCAGTAGGCGACCAATTTCTCTGCATCGGTGTCCTCCCCGTATACCAGTCCGAGTTCTTTAGTGCCCTGCAAATATCGTAAAATTCTTTTTACATTTAAATAATCTTTCTTTTTTGGTGATTGCGTGTATCTACTGCTGTAGCTGACTGCATAACACAGATCTGGTCTCGTCTTCATGGTGAGGTAGAGAAGACTTCCGATTGCTTGTTGGTACTGCATTTTTGGTTGAGCTTCTTCTTCTTTCTTGTCTCCTTCCGGCAACACAGGTGTGCTTACGGGTTTCGCATTTTCCATGCCATAGGTTTCCAGCACTTGTGTGGCATAGTTCTCTTGACTCAGTTTTAATCTCCCTTTCAATTTCTTGATTTGCATTCCCAAGTATGTTTGAGGATTTTTTTCTTCGGTCACCTCGAACTCTTCCCTGAGTCGTTCCACCAGTCGTTTGATTTTTTTTCTGTCGCTTCCCACAACAATTCCGTCATCTATGTGAATTGCTAGTATAACGGTTCCTTCTTTATTTTTAAATATGCAGTTCTCTGTTGTCAGTTGTTCCAGCCCTTGTTTTTTCAGCGAGTCCGTTAGTTTTATATTCCAGCTTTTTGGCGCCTGTTTCAGGCCATACAGCGCCTTTTTTAATTTGCACACTTTGCCTTGCTCTTCCTCGAAACCTTCTGGCAGACTCATGTAGATTTCTTCTTTTATCTCTCCGTAAAGGAAGGCGGTTTTTATGTTGAACTTTGTGATGTGGTAGTTTTTTACTGCTGCTAGAGCGAGAATCATGCGCAATGGTGCGCTGTTCACAACGGGGCTGTATATTTCTTCGTAGTCCAGTTCGCCTTTTTGTTCGCAGCCTCGGACGACCAGTCTCGCTTTGAATTTTCCCTCTTCCTTCACTTTGAAAATCCATCTGCTGGTCAGCACCTTTGCGTCTCCGATGTCTTTTCTGTCTACCAGTTTCCAGGTTTTATTGTTTTTTAGTGAAGATTTTTCTTCTTCTATCGCCTTTTTTCAGTGTTTCTTTTCTTTTCCACTTATCGCTTCTTTATATGTCAGCATTACGTAATCCATGTATCGTCTTGGGGGTTTTACTGTTCTTGCTGTTCTTCTAAGTGTTTCCTCTAGCGTGTCTGGCTCTTTTCTTCTCTGTGTTTCTGGTTCGGGGTCTTCGTCCTCTTCGGGTTCCTTCCAGTCTTCTTCCTCTTCTTCCTGTGCCTCTTGGTATTCTGGTTCGTTCTCGTCTTCTTCTTCACTGTCATCTTCTTCGTCGTAGGCAAGTGACGTTCTTTTTTTGTTAGTTTCTTCGTCCTCTGTATTTTTATCGAAGATCACATCTCGTGAGATTTTAATTTTCCTTTTTTCAGGATCCCACAGTCTGTAGGCGTTTTTTGTATAGCCTACGAATTTGTAACAGTTGCTCCTTCTGTCTAATTTTTTAAGTTGTCCTGTTTCCTTTGCATAGGCTTTACATCCGAAAATCTTCAAATATTTCAGGTTTGGTTTTTCTTCGTTCCACATTTCGAAAGCAGTTTCGCTGTTCACTTTGGTAGAGCTTCTATTGTGTAGGAATGCCGCTACTCGAACAGCTTCTCCCCAAAGGTATTTGTTGTTTTTCTGGTTCTGTATCATTGCTCTCACCTTCTCGACAAGCGTTCTGTTCAGCCGCTCTGCTTTTCCGTTCAATTGTGGTGTGTAGGGAGCTGTGTGATCCATGTTTACACCTCTTTTTTTGCACCAGCCTTGTAAGTCTTTGTTTGTGAATTCCGTGCCATTGTCGCACCGCAGGTTAGCTATCTTTTTATTCCACTTGGTTTCTACCAGAGCTGTGTATTCCTTAAATTTTTCTAACACTTCTGATTTATTTTCCATTAAGTAGACCATTGGATAATTTGTAAAATCGTCTAAAAATGTTACGAAATACCTTTTATTGTCCCACGTGCTGGGACTTATCGGGCCGCAGACGTCTGAGTGAATCAGTTCTAGTGGACGCTTCGCCCTTCTCCTCTGGTCTCCAAAGGGTGCCCTTGTCTGCTTTACCAGCTTGCATACTGCGCACTTCTCTCGGATCCTTTCCAGATCTGCATTATTCCACAGCATTCCCTCTGTCAGCGGCTGCAGTTTTTTCATATTTTCCACGCCGAGGTGGCCTAGTCTTGCGTGCCAGGTTTCCGCTTCATTTCGTTTTTCCGCTGCATGTGCCTCTTGGAGTGCTTTTGGTTGAGGTTTCACTACATAGAGCCCCAGATTGTCTTTACGCCCTTGGAATATCACTTCGTTTTTCTTCGTCACTATTACTTTGTCTTCTTCGAATACCACTTTGCCTCCCTTCTCGGTGATCGCACTCACTGAGAGCAAGTTTTTTCTGAGATCCGGTACGTAGAGCACGTCGTTCAGAGTGCAATTTTGCAGTTCGACTTTTCCTTTGCCCTTCGCTTCCATAGATCCTTTTTTCTTGGCAACTCCTACTTCTGTAAATATTTTTTTCATGTTGTTGAGTTTCTTCCTGTCGTTGGTCATGTGAGAGGTGGTTCCCGAATCAATGATCCACTCCTTCGATTCCGCCCTTCCGGCTAGGAAAGATATCTGGTTGCTTTCTTCTTTTTCTTCGTTTTGTTTCTTCCTGAAGAAACAATCCTTTTCTTCGTGGTTCTGTTTTTTACAGATTTTACATCCCATCTTCGGCTTTGTTCTACAGTCCTTGGCGCTGTGTCCTGTTTTTTTTGCACGCGTAGCATTTCACGCTTTTACTGCCTGCTCCTTTGCATGAGCGGGCCAGGTGTCCCCTCTTTCCGCACTTGAAGCACTTGCGTTCTTCTGTCTTGAGTGCCAGCTGCTCCTCTTCTTCTTCTACATTATTCCTTGTTTCTTCTGCCAGGAGCCTCGCAGTCAGATTCGGCAACGTCCTTTCCTGCTTACTGACGGATTCCCACGCACTTGCAAAAAATTTATACTTCTCGGGCAGCGTAGTTAATATTTTAGAAATCAACATCTCGTCCGTTATATTCACTCCCAGCGCCTTCAGTCTAAAAACTATGTTTTTCAACTCGGCAACGTGTGTGGCCATGTCGGTGGGTTTCGGTTTCTTTGTCTCAAAGAATTTTTGCATCAACACGTATTTGTTCTGCTCCGAGTCTCTCTCGTATATACTCTTTAATTTTTCCCACATATCGTGGCTCGACTCGCAACTCATAATGTGTATCAGCGATTGCTTGTCCACCGTCGTGACTATCACTTTTTGCGCCTTTGCGTCGTTCTTCTTCCACTGCTCGGTTTGCAATTCGACCGCAGGCAGTGTTATTACATTGCCGTAAAGGTCACTGGCTTTTAGTATTATACCTACTTGGAATTTCCACAGCGGGTAGCCTTCCGCATTCTTTAATCTGTCCACGCTGTCCAGGTTCTCGAAGACTGTGTTTGGCGACATCCTCTCCGTCTTCTTTCTTCTAGGCACACTCGATTTTTTCGGTCGGTTATCGCGGGCTTCACTTTTCACTTTTTTACTGTGTCTTTACTTTTTTTTTCACGCCACGCAACGCCACGTGTCTGGGCCCATAACCTGAAGGATTTTTATCTTAGGGCGAGGTTGCGTGGAGGAAATCACGAAAAACTTTTGATTCAGTGAACAAACAAATATATGTATTCAGCTAACAGTGTACAGCGTTTCTGCGCTCTCTTCTCGATTTGACCAACACTTCCGCTGAGACTATCTTTTCTTTCAGAAACGTTCGCCAGGACCATTGCCACGAGACTGATTCGCACGTACGATCGCCGCTTCCGCGTTGCCGGATAACGCGCGCGCTCTTGGTCCTCGAAAATCACGAGCGCTTTCTCCTTCTGATCGGGCGCTTCGCGCCAAGTTCGAATCGGGATTATTTTGTTTCCAACACCGTCAATAAAATTTATTTCACAAAAGAATAATTAATATATTTTTATTATTTTATACTCATATTCTAATATTAACATTTTTATTAATTTTTTAATTCTAATTATAAAATATAATAAATAAAATTGACATTACTTAAATATAAAATATAAAATTCAATCGACATTACTTAAATAATAGTAAATAAAAATTTGTGAATATGTAAAATTTAAATTATAATTCAATCATAGAGAGTGAAGTGAAGGAAAAACAACAAATTTATCTTTAAATTGTAATCTTACATATTTATACAATATTTCATTAATATTCCACCTTTGGAAATTGTTACTAATATTTTCCATTAAATGTATACCTAAATCAGAAGATTTACATGGTTCATTATAAAAATCTGTTATTGATTCATATTTATTTCCTATTATTACTGCATTTTCATTGTCTATACTGGCAATATTTTTAATTAAAATGATGTCACCATTGTTTAACCTACAACAATTATCTGGTTCTTGTATTTTTAAAGTAAAATTAGAAAACACTATTTTTTTTCCACTGACTTCTATATAAATTTTGATCTAAAGGTCCGTTATTATGTTTATTTAATAATTCGGGTTTGATGTTTAATTTATTTTTTTTTATTTTTTTTTAATTTTTTTTTTTTTTAAACTCCATATTCATCTCGACTAAGAGCCAAACGCGATGTTATTGCGACAAATTAAGATAAGAAATTTTTTGGAAACTGAGGAATTTGAATCCTATGGTTGGGATCTCAGAAATTCCTCTTGTTCCTTCTCTAAACATCCCCTGTAAGAAAAAGACGAGAAAAAATATTGGTCCGAAAGTCGGCTGAATCGGGAATCGAACCCGAGACCTTCCGCTTGCCGGGCGACTGCTCTTCCAACTGAGCTATTCAGACACTTACAAATCAATATTTCTCTCAATGTTTATAACCCCCTACCCCCCCCCACCAAGGCGTCGTACCTGGTCCAAACGCAACAAATATTAATAAGCATATTTGTAAGTCAGCTCTCCAATTTTTTTTTTTTTTTAAACTCTATATTCATCTCGACTAAGAGCCAAACGCGATGTTATTGCGACAAATTAAGATAAGAAATTTTTAATTTATTTTCTTTGTTTAATTCCGCGAAGTTTTCTTCATGTATACGATTTATTATTTGTTGTAACGGTTTATCTTTTTTACGAACATATCCTTTTATTTTTTGCATATGATTTTCGAAGGGGTAGGCACTGTAGTTTTGTAAAAGACCGAATTTTTTTTACATTATTACATACATGTAACAAATTATGTATATTAATTATACAATTGTGTTTACCATACAAAATAATAAAAGATTTTACAAAATAATTAAGAAGAGAATCAGCGTAATCTAAATATTTATTAATATGAGAAGATGATAAAATAGTTACAGCAACATTCAAACACATAAAATTGAGATAATTGTCATGACTAAGAATAGATTTTAAAACAACAGGCCCTGTGTATAGTAAAAATTGCCTAAATTCTGTTGCCTTCCACCTTCTACTTTCTTGTAATGATCTCGGTTTACGGTTAAATTCTAATGGAATATTTTTAACTTGTTTTATTAATAAATAAAAAATTTGTGAGATTTGTGTTTGAGAACATTTTGTTGGTGGTTTACCAAAACACCACAAATGTACTAAAGTTCTTGTAACGCTCAGATCAATTAAATGCATTGGCTCTACAGGGAAATCACTAATCATATTTAAATTTTTAATTAATTCAAGATCTGAAGTTTTTGAATTTACATGATGTTCTTCTTGAGCTTTTGATCTAAATTCAAAATCGGTTCTATTGCGAAATTTTCTTAAACTTGAAAAACAAACTCTACCATTAATATAATCCCCCTCAATATGACATTTTGAACATGAATAAAAACCAGTATGACCTTTAGTAAATTCAATAAATGCCTTAGCAGGCGTATCACATATAAAACTTTTAATTTTAAAGGGATAGTTAGTTTCATTTATTGTAACACCATGCGTTGATAAATCAATAGCTTCATTGATAAAATCTTTTAGAAATACATTTGCATCATTTGGTTTTGTTTTTCCGTGATATATGCCTACAATACCTACTTTACTACGATTTTCAACTAAACTGCATAATATTGGCCACAACTGTTGATTTGAACTTTTAAAAAGAGGTAACCCATCAATATTTATATAAACTTCTACTTGTTGTAAATTTTTTAGAGTTATAAAGAAAAAAGTTTCTGAATGCAGCTACTTAAACCGAAATGAAAATAATGTCCTGGTTCAACAATTTTTAAAGCTTTTTTCCTAGGAGTTGTCATTAATACGCGAGCATCCGAAGGCAAATCATTATGTTTAGACTTTAAAATATCTAATAATTCATTCAAAGCAATATGTGTAATTTTATTTTTTAGAGCCCAAGTAGCAAGTTGAGATGCTAACGAAGATTCATTAGCTGTATAATTGAAATTTTTATAATTACTTATTAATTCATCGTTATTCAAAGTATTTTCGTTACTTGAATCATTGTTGTTATCAGATTCATCATTATCTGAGTCAAAATTTTCTATATCATCTATTATACATTATCTCTATTGATATCTATATTATCTATATTGTTATCTGCTATATTGCTATCTATATTATTATCTATGTTATGAATCTCAATATTGAAATCATTATCCAATTCAATGTGACCATCGATGCATGGTGTTGTAATTAATTTTTTATTAATATCATTATTTTTATTTAAATATTGAGCAAAATCATTAGATTTAATTAAATTTATTGAATTATCTGAACAGGTTTTTGCGCGTCTATAATATTTAATAGAAATTTAGGCATATTTCCTTTTTATTTTCTGTAACAGTCTCTAAGTAGTGATCTCTAGTGCAATCGTCCTCCCAGACTGGTGGTCTTGCGCTCCAGAATTAAAACTCTATAAAATAAAAAATATCTTAATTTATATTTAAAGATATTTATTCTAAAGAATATAGAAAATAAGAATGTGTTCATGATGCATTTGTATTTTAGACTTTTATATTTTGAGTCTATGTGCTAACAATAAACTAAATTAATATTTTATTTATATGACAATACATTTTTTATCAAGCTATTCTGTAACTTTTAACAATGTTGTTATGCATTACTGCACAGATTATGTGTCATGTAATAGCTGTGTAATGATAACAAAACAACATATAAATAAAGGGACATACAGAATATCATATTTTCATTCAAACACAGAATATATATTATCAAAGCAGAATTACATTCAAAATAAATTATAATCATTTGTTAAGTATGTAATATATATTATGTTGTTTATTTTCTGCGTTATCCGATTAAAACGCACCATTTCTAAAATATTGACCCCGCAACCGGTCGAGCTGAATATTCGAGATGTTCAGTCAACTACCATTTATTACATGTATAAATTATAAAACTTCATTATATTAAAACTAACGCAAATTACAATCATTCTATAAACGTTTCGACCGCACGCGGTCTTCTTCAGTATAATTATTGAAATATAAATTCTTACAATTCACATAATATCGAAATTTAATTATAGTTATTCAGAATCAAGAGTTTTTGAGCAATTAACGCGTGTTTCAATCCGTCCTGTCCAACAATGTTCGCCTCGATATGATCCCTGATTTTGTTCAGATCTCGGATAGTTTCATCGTTAATATGCGAGAAATTAACCCGTTCCGTAGGCGCTGCGATTAATAAAAAATTACCGATCAACGTATGTCCAAATTATAATATGTATCCCCTACAATTGGTAGTATGCTTACCTATCATCGTTCTTCTTGACAATTTTGCTACTTATTAACAGTTATTAAGGATGACACATAACAAACCAACAATACAGAAAGACAGCTCATTTTAAACTCTACTTGATCGGAGAGCGTGCGTGTTTATATATGATCTAATATCTATGTTTTACTCGTTAATGTCCTATTTGTCCTATTATTATTTCTTGTTCGCTAATATATCCAAAATATCAAAATACGACTCGCTAAGTAACTCAGTATCTTTGTTTAAATTTAGTCCATTTTTTTGTTCCTTGATATGTAGCATCTCAGAAATGAGTCTTTTATAATAATTATTTTCGTTGTCCATGATCTTAACATTGTCCCAATTAAAAGTATGATGTTCATTTATTATGTGTTCAGAAATTACTGAATGTTTCGTTGAGTCCAATCTAATATTATTTTTATGTTCTTTCATTCGCGTCTGCAATTGCCTCTTTGTTTGGCCTACATAAGATGCATTACAATTATTGCAACTGATCTTATAAACCACATTCGAATTGCATGGATGTTTAGTTTTATCTTTCTGCGCTTTAATAATATTATCCAGTTTGTTGAGACATCTATACCCTACCATACAATTTTTATTTTTTACCGAGGAAACAATCATTTCTGAGATCCCATCTATATACGGAATGACAAAGAATTTTTTATTGACCGAGTCATTTCCTATACTTTTTGTTCTTTCTATGTTGGCCTGTCTCTCTATAATGC